AATGATTGCAACTTATTTTAAATGGATTTAATGTGAAAGTGACATTTTAATGTCAAGAATACAATGTGAGGAAAAGACGGATTACTGACAAATATTTGGGAGTAGCCACATAGCTGACTAGAGGGAAACATGAGGTTCCTATATGACTTCTTATAAAAATTTCTGTACCAATCCCCTTAGCCTCACCTCCCTAAAAAAAAAAAAAAAAAAAATCAAAAATACTGCTAAAATAGAAATAGAAAAAAAAAACTGCAGTATCTACTATAATTTAAGTGAAAAAATTAAGAACCCAGAAGACAACAATCATTGAGAATTCACAGAAAAAGATACAGAAATAGCTTTTTACCATATTAAAGAAACTCAACAAACTATAGTGCAAAAACATTTTTCACTGATCTGACCAGCAAAGTTAAAAAATACCGATACTTTGTTAGTGTGATCATAAATTGGTGCCACCTCTTCGGAAGACAATTTGGCAGTATCTAGTTATAATTTAAACTCCTTTTTCATTATGATGAGCAATTCTACTTCTAGGAATTTATTCTTTGGATATCCTTATCCAGGTGCAAAACGACATATGTACAAAGATATTCACTGCAGCATAGTTTGCAACAGCAATAGATTGGAAACACCCTGAATGGTTGGTTAAACAAATTGTGGTCCATTTGAGAAGATCACGGAACCATTAAAAAGAATGAGGCGGCTCTGTATGCAGGAAGGAATACAGAACAACAGCCTGAACACACTATAAAGTAAAACAGCTAACAGCAACAACAAGAACCACCAAGGTAGGATAGTTCTTATGGTTTGATTCTATTTGTGTAAAATTCAAAAGAATATTTACTTTATGTACATAAAATATCTCTGGAAGGACACACCCGCTTTGTGACAGGGCTTGCTAATTCTGGAGAGGGGCCTAGGATGCGAACGAGATATACTTTTCATGTTCTACCCTCTGTTGATGAAATTTATATTACATATTCAAAATGCAGAAGGCACAGAATAAAGAAATTTTTGGGGAGGCTATTTTATTACTTTAAGAAAGCAACTTAAAATTACTTACCTACTTATTTATTTGAGAGGCAGAGAGAGAGAGAGAGAGAAAGAGAGTATGTGTCTGTCAGAGAGAGAGAGAGAGAGAGACAGACAGACAGACAGACAGACAGCTCCCATCTACTGTTTCACTGCCCAAGTGCCTGCAAAGGCTGGGGCCAGGATGGAAATCACCAGAAGTCAGGGCCTGGGATTCAATCCAGTCTCCCGTGTGAGTGGCAGGGACCTGACTACTTGAGCCCTCCCTGCTGTCTTCTCGGGTCTGCATTAGCAGGAAGCTGGAATCGGGAGCCGCAGCCAGGAATCAAACCCAAGTACTCAGATGTGGGACTTAGGCATCCTAATGCCCGTCATTTAAAAACATTCTTGTTTAGCTTATTTATTTGAGAGGCAGAGAGTGAAAGAAAGAAACATTTCCCATCTTCTGGTTCACTCCCCAAATTCCAGTTGGGCCAGGGCCATGCCAAAACTGGGAGCCAGGGACTCAGTCCAGGTCTCTCTCATGAGAGGCAGGGAACCAAGTACTTGAACAATTCCCTGCTGCTTCCCAGGTTGGGCATTAGCAGGAAGCTGTATTCCAGTATGAGATGTGGGTGTCCCAAGCAGTGCCTTTTTTTTTTTATAAGACTTTTTTTTTTTTTAAAGAATAATTTATTTGAAAGGCAGAAACACAGAGAGAGGAAAGAGAGAGAGAATCTTCTAGCCACTGGTTCACTCCCCAAATGGCCATAATGGCCAGGGGTGGGCCAGGCCGAAGCCAGGAGCCAGGAGCTTCCTCTGGGTCTCTCATATGGATGGCAGGGGCCCAAGGACTTGGGCCATCTTCCACTGCTTTCCCAGGTGCACGAGCAGGGAGCTAGATAGGAAGTGGAGCAGCTGGGACTCGAATTGGCGCCCATAAGGGATGCCAGCACTGCAAGTAGCAGTTTAACCTTCTACGCCATAGTGCCAGCCCCACATCTTTTCCTTCTATCCTTTTAATTTCATCTCTAGATTGGCTGGACTTTGTTACTGAACAGTTTTTAGAAGAAAACTTCAGAAGGGTTGCATTGCTTAAATTTGTAAGGCTTGAAAAAGTCAGTGGCCCTTATAACTGAAGAACATCTTGCCTGGGCCACAAGGTCTTGATTTACAATTTCTTTGAATTCTGTAAATGCTGTTCAATTGCTTTCTGGCCTTGAGAGGTAGCTTTTCTCACCCCAATTGGTGGGAAATTGGTATTCTTTTCTTTTCTTTTTTTTTGACAGGCAGAGTGGATAGTGAGAGAGAGAGAGACAGAGAGAAAGGTCTTCCTTTTGCTGTTGGTTCACCCTCCAATGGCCGCCACGGCTGGCGTGCTACCGAAGGCAGGAGCCAGGTACTTCTCCTGGTCTCCCATGGGGTGCAGGGCCCTAGCACTTGGGCCATCCTCCACTGCCTTCCTGGCCACAGCAGAGAGCTGGCCTGGAAGAGGGGCAACCGGGACAGAATCCGGCGCCCTGACCGGGACTAGAACCCGGTGTGCTGGTGCCGCTAGGTGGAGGATTAGCCTAGTGAGCTGCAGCGCCGGCCTAGAAATTGGTTTTCCAATTGGTTTCCCCACCCCAAAATAAACTTTCTTGATCTGCTTATATGAATCTTTCTCCTTAGAGTTCAGGAATATCTTTAAAGTATATTTTTGTGATCACTGAAGGTCAATTTCATGTCTGCTCTTTAGGGCTCTGCCTAAATGTTACCTCCTTAGAAAGACCTCTCTTAACTCCTCCTTGAAAACAGCAATTCCTGTCACTCTTGACTCCTGACCCTGACTAATTTTTCTAAGAATTCACCACCAACTGGCATGTATGTATGTATGCATGTATGTATTTTCTTACTCCTCATTAGAATACAGGCTCCAGAGTAGGCATCTGGCTAGTGGTTAAGATGCTGCTTAACATGCCCACATCACACTGGAGCACCTGAGTTTGATACCTGCCTCTGGCTTCCTGCTAATGCAGGGAGATAACAGTGATGGCTTAAGTGTTTGAACTCCTGCCACTCACATGGGAGACCTGAACTTGGTTCCCACCTCCCAGCTTCAGCCTTGGCTCAGGCCTGGATGTCACAGGCATTTGGAGAGTGAACCAGGAGACAGGAGCTGCTTCTGCCTCTCAAATCATAATTTTAAAAGAATATAGGTTCCACAAGGGTAGCAACTGATATTTTCTTGTAACTACTGTATTCTCAGTGCTTTACCATAGTGCTTCATAGACAACCGGAAAATATTTTTTTGAAAAGTCGGGCCCATTTGATTTGATCCACCAAATGTAATCTAGAACAAATCAAATCAGAAAAAGATCCAAATTATTTGTTTCCAGAGAAGTTTCCTTCATATATATCATTAAATATCTTCTGCTTTTTCCAGGTTGGCATTTGTTAGCTCTCCTTTGTCTTCCACAGGCATCATTTTCTCTATCATCACCTTTTGAACTTTTATTTCTAAAGCATTTAATTCTGTTCTATTTCCTTAAGCTTATCAACCACTGGAAACCCTGGAAACAGATTGGTTTACTTTATTAGTTCATTGCTTATAAATAACTTCAATCTCTGTTATGTTTTCTCTCTTCCATTTCTTTCTTTACTTGGCCCACTTGATTTTAAAATCTTTTTGTGGTGTGTCACCCTAAATTTTTTCATTGAATCCATGGAGCATCTTATGGGAGTTCTTTTCTTCCTCTTTGATACTAATATAGCCTCCACTTACGTCATATTTATTCATTTTTGTGTCCTGTTTTCTGTTTGTTTTTAAACTCTTCACCTGCCTCACAGTAACAGAGATTGCACCTTTCTTGTGTTTGTGGTGTTTCGTTCTGGTTGCTGTTTTCCCCTCTAGACTTGTGGAGCTTTTGCTAAGGTAGACAAAGCAGCTCATGTCTGGACCATGCGCAGTTCTGACCACAAAGGAGAACAAGGCCACATCCTCCGCCCAGTTGCTTCTGCTATCATATCCTTATAGCCTGCTGTTCACAAGAAGGAAAAACTCACTTCCAAGCAGAAAAATTAGCTGGCTTCAGACCTACCACTTTGGGAACACTCAAAGCCAGAAAATAATAGAACAATGTTTACAGAGTTCTAAGGTAAACCAAAAATTTGTGGTCCAGCCAAGGAGCTCTTCACTTGTAAAGACAGTTGACATTTTTAAGCAAATTTAAGCAATAGGTTCCTTCTGAATTTTTCTTAAAAAGAAACATAAAAACTGCACAATAAAAAATCTTGTCAATCTAAAGATGAAACAAGCCAAAAAAAAAAAAAGATTGAAAAAGATACATATATACTGCAAAAGGGTTAAAGAAATCTCTGCCAAATAAAAGATATTTATATTTTAAAAGATTCCCACATACTACACTGATACTGTGCGAACACACTGCCTGTGAACAGTCCGTAGTAAAACACTGCATGAAAACAGACACTCAAAACATGATTAAATCAAATGAATGCTACTAACATGATTAACTCTTGGTCACACATGTATGACATAATGCTATATGAATGTCTGCTTTATGTAATTATCCTATATCTCCACTTCCTGAAGATTTGATAATAACCCAAGTAAAAGTCTAAGAGGTGGCATCTAAACCAATGGTAGAACTTGTCCTGAGAGCTCTGTGGTAAAGCTCGTGCAGATATTAGTCAGTGAAACATCACAGCGATGATCAGAGCAACGAGCAGAAATGTCCTTTGTCGTAAGGCGAGAAAGGATGTGGGAGGAAAAACAGGAGAACAGGCTAAAAACTATCCACAGGGAACAAACAGCACGCACACTGTGAGAATGTCATTATTCCTATGCCTGGTCACTATCTCCACATAAATGACAAGGCAGCACATTTGAAACCAGTTTGCCACGATGAGCTGCTACAGGAATAGTTCCCCATATTCCGTTACAACATGACTTCAAATTCCCCTCCTCAAATCCAAATTTGGAAAATTACCCGTAATAGTTCCGCTGACGTTGGCCTTTCCTGAGGTATTTTCTGCAAGCAGTAATCTACAAATCTCCTAAAGGGGTCCGTCCTGTGTGTGCAAATACACCAAAAGATCACACAGTTAGGGTCTGCAGAACACTGATTATTTAAAACAATTTTCATTCAAGGGAGAATTTTACATTTTAGGGGACTTTATAAACAATCGGAATATCATAACTTGGCCATTTCCAAGTTTATGGCATCTACAGTGAATTCTTTTGGATAATGAATGTGGGTACAATTTCAGGTTAGTCAGCACATAAATAAATCTATCTCAGTATAGGGAGGTAAGGTCAAATCATAATATATGAAGGGAGTTAAAAGTTCATGGGAAATGGAATTATGTTAAGTCTATCTTGGTGCAAAACCCTCTTAAAATCCATGCAAAGCTCTTTCATAATTGCACTTTCCATGAACTGTTTGAAACCTCTTACATATGAGAAAATGCAAAATATTATATCTATATAGAAGTTTTATACACAGTTTTCTTTTCAGAGATAATAGGGTTATCGTATTCTCATGTCTGCATCTTCATTACCAATTGCTAACTTCTCCACCATACACAACATATAACAAGGTAGTAAAACTCCCCATAAAGGATGGGGAACTGAGGAAAATGCTTTCTGAATAAAAATACTTCCTATCTTCAAAACTCTATTTTGTCCATTCTTTAAAGTTGCCCTTTTCCCATAACTCTTGTGGCCCAAATAATTACAAAAATGTCATCATTTTCATCAAAAATAATAACATGTACTCTAAACAAATAATACGTGTTCTGTCTCAACACATTACAAATAATTTTTAAATTTGTATTCGTTTATTAAAGCGGCAGGAAAGAGGGGAGAGTGAGACAGTGCGTGTCAGAGAGAACTTTCCCTCTTGTTGGTTTGCCCCCAAATGCTCAAAATGGTCAGGGCTGGGTTGGGTCAAACCCACCTGAAGCAGGGAGCTGGGAATTCAACAGAGGTCTCCCACGTGAGTGGCAGAAACCCAACTACTTGAGCCATCACCCACTGCCTCCCAGGGTCTGCACTGCCAGGAAGCTGGAGTCGGAAGCTGGAGCTGGGACTTGAAGCCAGAGGCATTGGTGTCTTACTTGCTAGGCTAAACACACACTTCTCAACACACTGACGTAGACGAACAGTAAAAGTGACAACTGGAAAAAGAATGACACCAGAGAGGTCACTTTACCTCTGCTGAGAAGTGATGAGAGCTAAGGTGATGAAGTAAGACTATTATGACTGGGGAGCCTCGTGCATGCTCCCGGTGGAACATGGGTTCTGCCACACGTTAAGAACACAGTGCGAGCCATGGCGAGGGCAGACAGAAATCAAACCCTGTGTATGCATCTGTGCTCGCACAGCCGATGCTTGTGAGGCATCAGTGGCACGCACGGTGACACACAATGAAGAAATGAAATGCTTCGAGTTCGGATATTTAAAATGTAACTTAATGGAAGTGTGAAATAGACGTGGCGATTTTCTCAGAGGTTTAAAATGCTAGCAGAGTCTTACCATTCACTGGACTGCAGCGTGGGGGAATCATTCTGGGCAATGTGGTACAAGGCACTCATTGCATTCATGTTGAAAAGGGGGGGCTTCCGTTCAGCTGGAAGAAGAGAAAACACACAGTGCAGTTCTTGAGACAAATTAGGCAGATACAGAAATAAGGATTTGTGAGCGAAGCTTTGCTGCTAAGGCCATAGCTCCTTAGCACTATGAGGCCACCTAACTCACTTATTTTAATCTCCAAGGGCAGTCCAGGAGAGCCATTCAGAAGAAACTGTTGGTCACTTTAACACACACTGGCAACATTTCTAAGAGATCCACTTCAAAAGAATGAAATTTGCAGGAAAGGCGTTTGGCACAGCAGTGAGGATGCCTCATGGTACGCCTGCATCTCATATTACAATGCCTAATCTGAGTCCTATTTCCACTTCTGATTCCAGCTTCTTGCTGATGGGCACCCTGGGAGGCAGCAAGTGATGGCCCAAGTATTTGGATCTTTGCCACCCTCGAGAGAGATCAGGATTGAGTTCCTGGTTCCTGGCTTTGGCCTGGCCCAGTGCTGGTTTTTGCAGGCATTTGGGGAAGTGAACCAGCAGATGGGAGATCTCTCTTGCTCTCTCTCTCTGCCTTTCAAATAAAATTAAAAATAAATTTTTAAAAAAGAGTGAAATTTTTCATTGCTTATTTTTTTCATGTATCTTCAAAAGACTGGCCTTTGCCTGTTTTTCCCACAATAGGTATGAACACCTCGCTATGTTTTAAGAAAAACATATTTATTCATTTAAACATTTAGAAACTAAAAAAATAGAGAATGAAGAAAAAATATTATTATGGAATGGGGTATCTTAAACACCACTAACATGGTAGGGAGATAATTCCATTTAACGCTGTTAATAATTCCACAATTAGTGCTGTTTAGCGGCTCATCCAGGGCAAAGAATTGCCAGGCGTAGTAAGGGGAGGGGGGACTTGGGAGTAAAGAAGAGGAGGATAAATAATACATATGGCCTGGTCCATCCCATGCTAACAGTGACTGAGTCAGTATTTCTTACCAGAGGATTTGCTCCACCATAGTGGAAGGAATGATCTTTGCATTGGAACTCCTACAGTGCTCTCTTGGTATACTGTTCATCTGACATACTGCGCTTACATAAACACATATATCTTTTTTTTCTGAAAAGAAATCATAAGGCACGGGTATTTGGCCTCGTGGTTAAAATGTCAGCTAAGACACTCATGTCTCATATCTGAGTTCCCAGGATCCAACAGCTGCATCTGGCTCCTGATTCCAGTTTCCTGCTAATGAAGACCCTTGGAGACAACAGTGATAGCCCAAGTAGTTGGGTCCCTAGGACCCATGGAGGAGACCTGCATTGAGTTCCTGGGATCCCGGCTTTGGCACTTGCCCAACCTCAGCCGTTGTGGACATCTGGGGAGTGAACTAGTGGATGGGAGCTCTGTTGATCTGTCTCTCATATTTAATTAAAAAATAAATAAATAAATAAGCTCTAAGAGAACAAGATCTTATAACCTGACACTCTTATTCTTTTATTTATTCCCTGAGGACATGTATGAAAATACAATTCACACAGGAGGTGCTCTATTCATTGACCAAATGGAAAGAAATAAGACTCTGGTTTTGAGTACAGCTAATTTTACGCTATTTATTAGTTATTATGGCACAGACGATAAATCACTTTCTCATTCTACAGTGCTTACCCTAATGGATTCTTTATGTAGTCTCACTTTCTGCTTCATAATATGATCTTTGGTTTCATGACAACAGCTTCGTTTTTAAGTAAAGATTCTTCTATTAACACTTTGTGAAATCACAGCATGGCTAATTCTAGGCAGTACTTAGCAAGGGAACAAGAGCGAAGGGCAGGAGTCACAGGGCAGACCCTGTCGCTCCTCAGAGGAACAATCTGTGAAAAGCCACAGCGGCTAAAAAACAAAATCAAACCCACAATGGACAGTGTTGAGGAGTAAAGAACTTACAGTCAAGGGCAGTTCGTAAATTAACAGCTGCACTTGCCCTGTGATGCTCTGGGGGGCCTCTCCCGGTCTGCACTACGTGAGCACTGCCCCTCTGCAACGTGAACGCCTGTGATTCCACTGTCACTCCTCACTGACCTCACCACAGTATACCTTATACACACCAGGCAGGTACTGATGTTACAGGGACCTGAACACGTGGGAATCTGACAACTGAAGTAGACAAACGGATCTTCATCTGTTTCAAATATAGAAGGGGAAAAACGGTGCAGGTTTATTTTATGTTTTCAGGAGGTTGCCTCTAGAAAATTTCTAGAGTTTGGTCTTCTGGTAACTTAAAGTATTTAAAACCACATGGAGGGGCCGGTGCTGTGGTGTAGTGCGCTAAGCCATTGCCTGTAACACCAGCATCCCATATGGGCAGCAGTACAAGTTTCCTCTCCTGATCCAGTGCTCCCTCCCCCTCCCCTCCCCCTCTCCCTCTCTCCCCTCATGGCCTGGGAAAGCAGTGGAAGAGTGGAAGACAGCCCAAGTGCTTGAGCCCCTGCACTAGCCTGGGAGACCTTTCTGGCTTTGGATAAACCCAGCTCTGGCCGTTGCGGCCGTTTGGGAAGTGAACCAGAGGAAGGAAGGCCTTTCTTTCTGTCTCTCCCTTTCTCTGTCTATAACTCTGCTTCTCAAATAAATACATAATTAAAATATTAAAAACAAACAAAAAGCATGTGGAAGTAGGAACCCATCACGTACTCACCCATCGTTCCCCATCATCCCTAGGACAAAGTCCAAATCCTTACACACTGCCTACTGGCCTTCATTCCAGGACCTCCAAGCCTCATTCTGAAAAGTAACCTCTTCCCCTCCTCTCTGGCCATCTTTTGCTTCATGAAAGATACCAGCTAAGAGCCTTCTACCCTGGCTGTTTTCTGTCTAGGCTCCTCTCTCTTTCCCTTTTATTATTATTATTATCGTTATTATTATTATTACTATTATTGCTATTATTTGAAAGGTAGAGGGAGGGGAAGGAGAGACAGAGAGGGTTCCCATTTGCTAGTTCACTCCAAAAATGCCTACAACGGCTGAGGCCAGGCCAGGACAAAGCTGGGAGGTGGGAATTCAGCTCCCACAAGAGCAGCAGGGACCCAGTTACTTGAGCCTCTCAAGGTCTGCACTAACAGGAAGCTAAAATTGGGAGCTGGAGCTGGAACTCAAATCAGGCACTGCAGTATGGGAATTCGGGTGTCCTAACTGGCGCCTTAGCTGCGAGGGAAAAAGCCTGCCTCCCACCTCCCCCTCCCTTTCATTCCTCCAATTTTAATTGGCTAATTCTTGACAACCATTCAGATCTCATTGCAAATGTGATTTCACTTCAGCAGTAATTTAACAAATATTTATTCAGAGCTTATTATACACTTAAAGTCACTTTCTGAGGGAAGCCTTCCCCGACTAGTCTGACTAGATCTCCCATCAGATTTTTTCTACTGTGAATCATATTTTTCCATTCTACCACACATCACACCCCAATTATCTGTGCAGTTTTACTGAATGCATGTATTCTTTGCTCAACTTCATGAAGGCAGGGACATAGCTGTTATGTTTATCATTGTCTTTCCAATGGCATAGTTGTTGTTCTACTTCATAACAGGAGGCCCAAAAATGCTTAATAAATAGATGAAGAAGGCAAATTCAAATGAAGAAGAAACTTTTTCAATAAGCAGAGAAGCTTTGTGCATAAGTAATCACATAAATGAAAAGAGACTGAATTTTGGGGTCTTTGGGCTTGCTAAGTGATAGCATCTTTCACCATCATGAGCATAGGAACCCTCACAGAAAAACACTGAATTACACAGGAAAAACAGCAGGGAAAGGGCTAAAGAAAGAAAAAAAAAAAAAAAAAACAAAAACCTGAAGAGGGTGAAAGTACCAAACAACAACAAAACAATAAAAACAAACTTCAAAACACTAATTCAGTAGCAATGAGAAAGGCACTAGCACAGATTTGAAACAGGAAAGGGGGAAAGACCTACAGGAGCAAGCACTCTGCCCACAAACAAGACAAGAAGATAGCCTGGCAAATGATGGTAAAATAAATAGCACTAGAAGAGAAGCATTCAAACACAGGTAGTCCTACCCACAGCACAGCTGTATGGCCTGGGACAGAGTCTCTGATTAGTAGCCTCGGATGGTCTCATTTACGTTCAAGTCCCTTGCGAGATGCATGATCAAAATCTTCTGATGGGGCCGACACTGCGGTGCAGCGGGTTAACACCCTGGCCTGAAGCGCCGGCATCCCATATGGGCGCCAGTTCTAGTCCCGGCTGTTCCATTTCCGATCCAGCTCTCTGCTAAGGCCTGGGATAGCAGTACAGGATGGCTCATGTCCTTGAGCTCCTGCACCTGGGTGGGAGACCTGGAAGAAGCTCCTGGCTCCTGGCTTTGGATCGGCCCAGCTCTGGCTATTATGGTCAGTTGGGGAGTGAACCACCAGATGGAAGACCTCTCTCTCTCTCTCTCTGCCTCTCCTCTCTCTGTGTAGTTCTACTTTCAAATAAATAAATAAATCTTTAAAAAAAAAGAAATCCTCTGAGCCATGGTGACAGGGCTCGTTGCTGAGCAAGAATATCATAGAGCAGGGGTTGGCAAACCACGGCCAGTGGGCCAAATGCAGCCTATTTCTGTAAAGTTTCATCACACAGTCATTCTGCTCATTAATGCACCATCTAGGCTCGATTCTGGGTTCCCACAGCCAAGGTGAGCAGTGACAGACACTGTGAGACCCGCGAAGCCTAAAACACTCACTGATCCTTTACAGAATGTTTGTCAACTCTTACTGTAGAATATAATAGCTTGCGGGCCGGCGCCGCGGCTCAATAGGGTAATCCTCTGCCTTGCGGCACCGGCACACCGGGTTCTAGTCCTGGTCGGGGCGCCGGATTCTGTCCCGGTTACCCCTCTTCCAGGCCAGCTCTCTGCTGTGGCCCGGGAGTGCAGTGGAGGATGGCCCAAGTGCTTGGGCCCTGCACCCCATGGGAGACCAGGAGAAGCACCTGGCTCCAGCCATCGGATCAGCGCGGTGCGCCAGCCGCAGCGCGCCAGCCGTGGCGGCCA